CGTGGGATTTTGGGGAGACAGCCGAGCTCACCTTGATGAAAAAGGGGTCCGGCTGCCTCTGCAGCTCTTCGTCCCGGCACACGGTCACGGGTCCTCCCTTGGTGATGCTGCCACCCACAAAGACCTGCGAGAAACCGAAGGTGTGCGTGGCCGAGACGGCAAGGACGGGGCTGAGCCCAGCCGTCTCCGGGAGACGGAGGAAAAGCGTCGGGATGCGACCGGGAGCCTGCTGCCGCCCCACCTGCCCCACCAGCTTGGGCCTGCGGGTGTCGGAGATGTCGTACTGGCGGATGTCTCCGTGCAGCCAGTTGCTGAAGTAGAGGAACCTGTCGTCCAGCGAGATGAGGATGTCGGTGATGAAGCCTTGGGGAGGGTACGACAGAGCTGCACAAGCAGGCAGGCAGCCGGATGAACCGGCAGCGACCGGGGAAGCCGGGGAGCACCTCGGCACCCAGCCTGGGGATGCACCGACCTGGCATGTCCGGCAGGAGCCATCCCTCCACCTTCTTGCTGGGGACTTGGATCACCTTCTCGGCCGCCCAGTCTCCTTGCTGCAGGGGTGCGGGACAGAGCAGGGCCCCGGGGGGCTCAGCGTGCGCGGCAGAGGCAGCATAAGACCCGACGCCGGGGCGGATGCTGCGTGCGCGCGTCCACCATCTCTTGTCTCTGGCTGCAGCTCAGCTACCTGGCCAGCTGCGGCAAACCTCATCTCTGGCTCTGCAGAGCCAAGGGGAAGGCGGGCTCTGGGACGTGAGGAAGGGCTTTGTGGGCCAAAAACCTGTCTAATTTTCCAGCTAGATTAGCTGGTTTGGTGAAAGATGTTCTCTCTCCTCACCCGGTTCGTCATTACGCGCAACAGACACCGAAAAGAATATTGCGAGGGCTGTTGTAAATCCACAACAAAGTTATAAATAAATCTCCTTTAAATTAAATCACTTCAGCCTAAACTGCTGACAGTCAGAACAAGTCCTCTGGTGAGATTACCCCAAGCCAGCTCATGTTCTGGGTGCAGAGAGGCAGCTGCACAGCACAGGGAGGCGGGTGCGCGCATCGGCAGGGACCGGAGCTGGGCTGGGAGGACGGCGGGGGATGCGGGAAGCGGGATGCTGCGCAGAGCCAGGCGGCTCGGTCGACCAAGGGGCAGCACCCCTCTTCCGCTAGCCCCGGGGCAGTACGTACCTCGGTCTTGTAGAAGCGGTGGATGGCGCTGCTGATGGTGCAGCCCACGTAGCCCTCGGCAGCGTCGGGGTCGTGGAGGAAGCGGATCTCCAGGGGGGCCGCGTCCTCGCCCACGTCGATGGCCTGGACGTAGGTGTGAGTGGTCCAGTCCCAGACGTTGAGGCGGCGTCCGTAGCGCCCTGGGAGGGGAGGGCAGAGGGGATGCTGCGAGGCGCAGGGTCCTCAGCAGACATGCGACAGGTTCGGGCGAGTCCTCGGCCCCTTCAGCTCCCCGCAGAGACGACCCCCTGGTCTCTGCGCCAGCACATGCCGGTTGCTTTGGACCTTGGCAAAATCCACGGGAAGGTGCCCAGCATCCAGCGGGGACCATCTCGCTAGGATGGGGCTGGGAAGGGCAGCGTAACCTTTCGGGGGGAGCTGGGCTGAGATGGGGCTTCATCCTTCATCCCTACGGCCAAAATCCAACCCCACGTACAGCTCAACAGCGGCATTTATGGGTGGAACTTCTGGTGCTTGCACCCGAAGTGTGTTCACAGTAAATGAGCTGGGCTCGTCTTTTTTAAATCTGTGGGATCTCTAGGAATAGGTGTGAAGTTTGCTTTGCAAGCAAACCATCATGGACAATTTTATCTACGTCCATTAGACTGCCAGCTCTCACCAGCAGCAGAAGAGGGTTGTAATTTGGCCGCCTTGCAGTCCAGCATCTCTCTCCCGCAGTACTTAAACAACGGTTTTCTCACCTTTCTTCAGATCATTTGGGTCGAACCCATACCCCAGGCATTTGGGGATTCCCCATTCAGTGCTGATCAGGACGTTATGGCGTGGCTGGTACCAGAAGTCATAACCCATTGGGGGGATCTTGTCCCCTTTCTCCCAGTTCCCCTTGATCTCGAAGGTCTCTCCGTCCAGCAGAATAAAGCCGCCTGATGCAAAAACAAAACTGCATCGGTAGTGAGGAAATCATCCAGACTAACAGTTTACGGGTTACAAAAGAAGCAGCGAAAGACAGGTCAACCCGTTGCAGACCAGGCTGCTGAACGGGCCGAGAGACTGGGACAAAGCCTCCAGGACAGCTCCGGATGAGGGGACTGCTCCTCCTGTCCCAGCACCATCTCCCTGGAAGACTGGGGGGGACCGGGGTACCTTTCCCGCTGCCAGCCGGGTCTCCCAGGGTGCTGATCATGATTTCCCCGCTGCCCAGGCAGTGGGACGTGTGGGGGTAGCCCAGGTTGCACTTCCAGAAGACATCCTCTGGGTTGACAACCTGCCGGGAGTTCACAGGCACCGTCAGGTCCTCCGCGCCGGGCC